GGCATATGTGCTAATATATACAGAAGAAAAAAGCAGAATAAAGAAGCAAGTGCGAATTCCTGATGCACCATATGCGGGTTTTTTCATGAGACCAGCAAATGGGACCAAAAGATTCCCACAATGAAACGGCAGCATGCGTGCCTTGCAAAAGCGGACGCTACCTCCGGCCCTGTAATACTTTCTGAGATAAAGACGAGGCTTGTTCATCCAAATAGTACTACGTCGCACTCCAGTCCCAGTCCCCACGTACGGAAATTAGCAGCGTATGAAATTCTAATTTGGAAACCAGGACAAACACACGCATGCGCGCTGTTCTAGGCAGCTAGCAATAGTAGGGGTAACTTAGGTAGTAATTTAGACTAATGTCATGCATATAACACTAGTCTAAATTACTCCCCACTATGACCAGCCTAAGGGGCGAAAATATCTGCAGCACCGGGTCGCACCGTGAGAGCGAGATGGACGACCACCGGCGTAATCGCCGCTCATTTAACATGTCCCTTTTCTTATGCTGATAAGGCTGGGCTTAAAGCCTAGCTTGCTAGCGGCAGGCAATAAGCTGTGTGGGCTCCATCACACTGCATTCCTTCATAGTTGAGTTTAAGCCTTGTCTCGTCCTCGGGTGGCCATGTCGGTGCCTCGGTGATGACACGAACGTCCCACTCTCCTTGGGTAGCGGTGGCGCTATCACCCGCGCGCACCGAATCTCTTGAGCAACAGAACGGCCGGCCGGCGAGGAAGTAGTGGACTTGCCTTTCTTGTCGCAACAACGATCAACCGAAACTGTACGGCGTTCTTCAAGGTGGACGTCTCAACTACTCCCTCCGTTTGTTTTTATAAGGCGTTTCAGACAGCTGGGTTTGAACTGTTTAGTACATTGTCTGAATTTGCTAAAACGTCTTATATAAGTGAACATAGGGAGTAATAAATAACTAAAAGCTCGCAACGTTCTCGGTTATGTGATGCGCAAACCATGCCGTCACCGGAGATTCCAGGCCTTTGGGTCTGTCGATCCACTAACCAACCAAAGTTTATATTACCTCGGCACAAGGGTTCACGCAAAACAGTGTCAACACCATAACAATCATGTAGTTGACGTTAGATCCCTTGGCCGATTGGTTACTGTAGCCCGGGCATGGTGGAGTCGATGCCCTGGATTTCACTTTTGGTACCGGACAAGAGCTCATTCCCTGTCGGAGCCTCGGAGGCTGGCTCGCAAAGCTCTATGTCAATAGAGGTTCGCGGGTGGCAAGGTTAGATAACACCATTAGCATCGTCAACGAAGGTTGATAATGATTGTATATGCTCTCCGAATGAAAACTCGTGATCTAGGGCGGTGGCATTCGGTGATGTCCGTCACAATTATAATGGTTTTATGCGATTACCTCCCGAAAGAGATAGTGTGGTCACTTCACTAGGAGATGGCCATACGAAAAAGGGTGGGAATGACCGAAGCCACTGTCGCTAGCGCCCACCAGGTGCACGCCTCTTTCTCCCTGTGAAAAGACTGCATATATACATATCACGATGTCCACACACGGCACACTGATAAAAGAAAGCACGACATCATGAGCATCATGACATGGACGAGCACCAGCGTTCCCAACCGCTAGCTAGTTAAGCAAATGGAGCAGTGTATAACGACATAATGTATTCTCTTTGATGGCGTCCCGTATTTGCTGGGGTGCTAAAGGCCTAGCTAGCGGCAGGCAATAAGATTTGTTCCCTATGTGCCTTAAATAACAAATTAACATCTTTACACTCCATTCGTGCCTTAAATATATTGGCCTCTCTTGGTGAGCAAGTAGAATAGTGGGCTATAATTAAGCCCGCTTAATTGACACTTTTACCTATGTGAAGAAGATAGCGATAAGAAAAAAGTGAAGGAGTGGACTCTCATGCAAGAGTCAACCTCTATGCATGCTTCTAGGTAAAAATATTACTAAATTTTGATGGCATGGCATGTCTATATAGCCAACTCTATTGTATGAGTAATTAATATTGCTAAATCTTGATGACATGACATGTCTATATAGCCAGCAGCTGGCTATATTATTAGCCATGCTCTAAAAGATAGTGACAATGCATGCATGCAGGAAACCCTGTCGTAAATATTTTTCCTTCAGGCCGACAATGGGAGGCCCAACACAAATACATCCAATGATATATGTGCTTCATATTGAAAGAAAGAAATTCACCACCGGTGGCACTGTCGCTCTCTATCTTATGCCAGCTAGGGTGAGGGTTATGTCATATACTACCTCCGTCCGGATTTATTAGCCCCCTCTCATTCTGGGCTAAAATTTGACCATCAAATTTAACTAATAAAATTTAAATTATATGTTACAAAAATTATACCACCGAAAAGCTCTTTCAAATACAAATCCAATGACTTATTTTTTTGTAAAATATATTCTATATTTTATTAGTCATATGCATGTTCAAAGTTTGGCTCAAAATGCTAGAGAGCTAAATAAATCGAGACGGGGGTAGTACTCATGAAGGACACGGGACTACTAGTGAACTTGCTTTTATCCGACCTCTCGGTGGTGCTGATTGAAAGCACTCTAGTGGCCGGCCGCCTGGGCAAAGATTCCAGCCATCTGATGTTGCCGGGCCCATTAACCAACCAAAGTATTCCCTCGGCACAAGTGCACAATGGTTCACGCACAACAGTATCAACACCTAGCCCTAAAAAAAAGACAGTATCAACACCGTGACAATTATGTAACTATATATGGTGTGATGGTAGATGCTGATGATGCGCAATGTTATTTAGAACACACACAGTAGGCAGTAGAACAAGATAGATAATGCAACAATGGCATGCATGTCACCGGGAAAACATTGTGTTAAAAAAATTGTAAATGTATGTTTCCATTTTTTTCCATTGAATAGAAAAAAACAAAGGAAAGAAACTACTGTGATTGCCTCCGTAGACTAAATTCTTTAAACCCGTGATATTATTACACAATCAAATGTATGTTGCTCTGATCTGCTCTACATATACGTGGCATGTCCTGTTTGCGTGGTGATTTCCACGTTAGGCATATGAACGTGTACGGTTGTTGAGGTGTAATGACATGGCTCGCAGCAGTGACTTCTTCATTGAAAGTGGGGGCGACAATACAAGGTGACTTAAGATTGGTGGTGCTTTTGAACACATGGTCTCGAGCTCCGGAGTAAAAACTCTAGGTTTCACCTACATTGGCTGTACATGGCAATGGTTGTTTCTACATCATACCCTTGTTGAAGGCATTGTCTAGAGTTTACTCAGACTTATTCTTTGAGGTGAAAACCCAAGATCTAACTGACGTGGGTGGATCTGGTGATGGCGGCACTCGCGTGTTGTTTCCTTCCTGCAGTCATCATTGTTAAAGCACTTTTCTCACAGTATGGGTACTGTCATCGGTGGTGGTTGATGTTGATTGTTGCACTTGCATACTGAGTTCACTTCAACAGGACTTTCAGAGGTCACTTTTCTTTTTCTTCTTTGTGTGCGTGCATTGGTGTTGTCTGTGTGCATCCTAATTCTGCAGAGGCTAGGTGTCTTCATGATGATTGTATTTTCATGATGCAACATTATGAATCAATAAAATCCACCCTTTATAGAAAAAACATTTTGAAAATTTATGTTTGCATGGGAAACCACAAACATAGGCAAGATCCAATTCTTCTCGGAAAAGGTCACACTTTGTGGTCTTTTTGCGCCGAACACTTACTTCATACTGACGTCAACAAATCAACATATTCAATGTTGCTTATTCTCTTAATATCTTCTTCGAATTGTTTGTTCCCATTTTGTATCAGTGATGAAGGATCAATATTAGTGTCACATGCTACTATGTATAGTTGTATACTAATGAAGTGAAGTGTTGTATGATGTGGCTATATCAGTGAATATTTACAAGAAACAAAATCATGTAAAGTACACCATCATATTAATCATGCAACCAAGTTGTCTATCACAATCATTATCAGCTGCTTCCACCACCCAGAGGGAGTAACTGTGCCGAAACAGCGAGAGCATATTCGGCGCACTAGACACACATATGTGGTGTACTAATATACTATACAAGATGATTGCTTAGTGTCCTTAGTGATAATGAAAAACCTTAAACTTTTGAAAACATTGTCACAACATATATCTATCATGTGTCTCAATTTTTTTTATCCAAGTCCAACTAAAATTCAGAGAATAATAATAACAAATTCAACTACAGACAACTATATGATAGTATTCACTCTGTTTGAATTTCCTATTGTTACCTGATTTGCCTTATTTGTTTGTCAACCTACAAATTTAATTGGGACATGAAATTCTATGGCATAATATTTGTGCATTGTGTTATCTCATGATTTTAAAATTTCTATGAAGTTTAGATGTTTTTAGTTTTGTGTAATAGTACACCTATAATAATGATCGTAGACCTTAAGTTTTTTGGCTATGTTCACAAGATCGTATCTATTTTCACGCATTATTATATGATCATACACCTTAGAAAGTAGACAATATTTAGTGGACTACCACAACATATCGCATTTTTTTCTTGAATCTTGATCACATTTCTTAGTGTTTCGATTAGCATCCAACCATGCCGACTCATCCACACAAAAAAGGGCAACCTGGTGCATGTAGCTCCCGCTTGCGCAGGGTCCAGGGAAGGGTCCGACCACAACTTACAAAAAAAATTGCACTGTCATTTCACTACAGACAAACATCTTGCAGTAGTGCCATTTTTTGACTTAGTAGTCTGAAATTCAATATGACCAAAATATTCAAAGCTCTAATGGAACTCAAAATTAGCAAAAGCATATTTATAGTTATCGTTCTGATAACTGGAGCTCAATTCCTCTTCGGTAATATAATTGCAAACACCTCATGCCGTTAGGGGGGGGGGGGTACATATCAGGTGGCATGTTTTCCTCATCACTGCCATGCATGTCTGCTTTTTATTGTTAAGTGTGGAAATGATATTTTTATTTTATTATGCAACAACTCAGTAGAATTCTTCAATTGTAAGTCGTGTCACAATTGGAATCCTCACTGTCTTTTGGTCGTTATGCCAGGTAAGGCTACCAAATGTGTAGTACCCGTGCAACTTCCACATAGGTGATAGCTTCACCTGATACGTCTGAACTTTGTTGGTAGCGTCGAACACAAGAACGGGCGGGACGACCTCCATCTTGACTCCTGTTGGGCTCTGGACTGCGGCATGGTACACAGAATTGACCTCGCCGACATTGGTCACAGTCCTGGAAACGGTGATGGGATGCCTGAGATCGGGAACCGATATGGATGGCAGGTTCAAGTAATACGCTGGTTGCATGGTGGTGGTGTTGCAATCCACGGGTGTCCTCTTGTTGCTGATGGTGCATTTGAAGAATTTGCTGTAATCACTTGGATCGATGTCATATATGAGGCCGGGATGAGCCGCCCCGCAAGGATTGATGGTCCCGCCTCCGTAGTCGAATGGGTCGGCGATCTTCCGCGAATATCCTTCCGCCATTATCGGCATGCCACGTTCATCGGTTACATGGGCTTAATTTATTTTGAACATGCAAAACCAACAATTTAAGCAGAGGTAAACAACACAAGTGCATGAACTATGAATTTGATGCCATTCTACTTGTATCGAGTTAAAGATATGCTAGATGATGTCTTGTTATTACGAACCAGTGGTAACCATGGCAGATTTTATTGCCGCAGGAGACCAGTATGGGTGCAAAACTTTGAGTAGGGCTGCGATGCCCGCTACATGAGGGGCTGCCATGGACGTCCCTGACTTAAATACGTAGCCATCTTGTTTTGCTGCCAGGATGTTGGCTTCAGGTGCAGCTATGTCAGGCTGTTACAGAACCAAAGGCCGTCGCAGCAGCGTGAGGTGGGATGACATACTACTGTATACAACAAGGTCATGCAGCTGGCACGGTACACACCTTGAGAATGGCGGGGTAAGTAACAGATGGGCCTCTGGAGGAGAAGATCGCCACTTTTGGGGCCAGTATCTCCTTGCCCGTAACGGTGCCCGCCGGTTCAATCTTTGCCTGGGCAGAGCTGTTTACAAAACAAAATCAATGGCATCGAACATAAGTTTATGGCTGTGTGAATAGGTCCATGCATGCAGAGCTGATTGGATGGCATCTCCACTTTGACTTTTTTTTAAATGAAGTTTTATTGTGCGTGTATGGTTGTACCTTGTGTCCTCATAGTATTGGCACATCCTCTCCGCGTCTTCGATGTTGACAACTACACAGGCGATGCCTTCACAATCTGTCACGGGTCTCATGTCGTCCGTCGTGGATGACACGATGATGAGTCCGGTTCCTCCTCCATCCATGAGGTATTGCACCGCCGGGAATAAAGCTCCCGTTTGATCGTTGCAGAGGAGGATCAACCCTTTCAGGTCTTGGGCGCCGTCAAAAACCTCTGCGGTACAACTGAATTCACAAAAGCAAATTGAAGCATGTATTTGGATTGCTGGGCTGTTGTGTGCATCGTGGTAGGGGTGACTTTAGGGTACCTTTTAACCCTCTTTAGTTCAAGCAAATGACTAGTTTTTCATTTCTTTGAACTAAAAATAGTTAAGGGTACCCTAAGGAAATCACTAATTTGCACCCCCTACGTTGCAATATTCATGGTGGATATTGCTGAGGTCGTTAGAGTTTTTTTTTCTTACGATCGTAAACATGCAAAATTTCCGAAACTGCTCCTGGATGATGAGTCCTTCTTCCCTTGGTAATAGAGAGATTGTCCCTGCAGAATAACCAGCGTAGCACACACATTATATACTCGCTTATAATTTTGATGGAGAGTGGTTGCGTTACCGTTACATCCACATACCACTATTTGTTGCTTGTTTCCCAACGTGATCACTGTATCGAACGAGCGATCGATGTTGGTTGCCGCGACGGTGATGGCCCACGGGGAGGTGTCCCTGATGGTCTGCATATGCGGCCCAGCGTTGCCAGCGGTGTGCACCATGACGATCCCCTTCAGGACCGCATGTAGTGTACCGTATGAGTTCTCGCTCATTTCCAGGGACAATGACAGAACGTCCACCCCGTCATGGATGGCGTCGTCGATGGCGGCTAGCACGGCCGGCGTGGGGCAGTGGCCCTCCTTGCTCCAGCAGGACTTGTACACTGCGATGCGAGCGTGTGGCGCGCCTCCCCGTGCGACCCCCGCGGCAATGCCATGGAAGCTGGCAGCTTCCTGCCCCACAGCCGAGCCAGCCGCGGTGGAGGCCGTGTGTGTGCCGTGGCCGGCATGGTCCCGTGGCGAGAGTGTAGAACCGTGCGCCAATGATCTTTCGGCTGCAGTTGTTGCTGCCCCAGTCTGGCCCAACCTGGCATTTTCCTTTCCACCTTGATGGCACGGGCCCGTACCCTTGGTCGCTGAAGCTTCTCGACTCCGGCCAGATCCCTGATTCGATTGATCAGTTATTAGTTGGTTGCGGGCTGCCGGATTCGTTCAAGAAAGCTGAAGCGACTCCACTTTAACATAATGTATACTGACCATCGTTTTCACTTTCAGTGAGATTTCGGTGAAATTCACTGAATTTCAGTAATTTCAGCAGACACTGAAATATTATGTTTCGGCCAAAATATTTCAGCAATTTCAGAATAGCACAACAATTCCAATATTTTTCAAAATATTTTTTAATTTTTTCAAAATTTTAATTGAATTCAAGTGAATATTTCGGTCATTTGGCTGAAATGGAAACTGAAATCACTGAAATTCACTGAATTTCAGTGATTTCGGTTGGTGCTGAAATTTTTCTGAAACTGAAATTGAAAACCATGATACTGACCAGTGTCAACCACACCGATGATTATATCCTCTCCGTAGTTGCTTGCCTGGAGTAGCTCACTGGCCGGCGTATGGGAGGACGGGTAGTTGAGTCCAAGAAAGTCCCAGCTCCGTGTGGTGGTGGTCCTGTATGTTTTGCTCGGTTCAACACTGATGACTCCCGGAAACTCTGCACAACATCACACAGTTCATACCAAAAAATGAGTTAATTTTTAAAGCTGTAAATTGTTCTTTCAAATATTTACGTTGGAAGCTTGGGGAAATAGTATATATATTTGTCTCAAAAGCATTCTTCGAGTGCTTTTTGTTTGTTTTATCTTGTGTTTCAATATAAAAAGGGGACCTATTTAGGAACTAGAGGTGGTAGTTGATTAGTACTATCTTGCAAGCAAAACTGAGATGATGACAATCGATGGACCTGCAAGCCTTGTTGCTTGGTCCGCGGTGAGCATGGCGGCAAAGCCCGAGAAACCATGCTTGTAGTTGTAGACCATGGAGGCCGAAGCATCCTCCTTGCTACAAATGTTCAAAGTAGTAGAACAAATTGAAGGCCATTTAATTTCGTTCTGCAAACCTCGCTAGTAAGTTACTTTAATTAGCTAGGGACGAGCTGAAGAACAACCTTGCTAGTAATTAGTTACGCACCTTTGGAGAAGAGTGGTGAGCATGTCATGGTGCGAGGCGACGACCTCGTCCGGGTGCCCGTGCTTAACGTCGCCTAGGTAAGCTACATAAACCTGAAGAAGCAGATATGCATGGTTAATTAGGTAAGCTAGCTAGCTCGGAGCACGTAAACAAGAGTTGTGCGTGCATAAAATTTAATTACGTGCCTTGCGAGACTCTCCTCCGTGTGCTCTGGATAACACCATGGAAAAGCAAAGCAGCGGTAGGAGCACCCAAGCAGCCACCCGTGCGTGCTGCGAGGAGGAGGAAGAAGAGCACATCTGCAATTCCATATCGTTTCACCTAGCTAGTGCTAGTGGAGTGGAGGCGTACTACGTACTTGCTTAATTAGTGTGGCCTGTATGCAGGGCACTGGCTAGCTGGTATTTATAGATGGATGCCGCAGGCGCGGTGGATGGAGGCCCCGACCACGCTCATCGTTGTGCCACATATATTCTCGTGCTCAATATTCAGCCTGTCTAAAAAAATTATTCACCCTGTCCTGCCACTAATGGTGTTCGGAAGGCCTCATCCTCAGAAGCCAAGCTAGCTAGAGAAGAAATCATTGGGTTCAGTTCTGTTTGTTGGTTATGGCGTCCAACCTGTCCCTTAATTGGCATTGAAAATCGGTAAGCAGAGATGGGCCACGCAGATGTGCATGTATCAGCCCTCCATGGTTGCTTTGAGATCCAGGCTACTCTTTTTTGAACTAGTCAAAATCTTTCTGTTTCAAACTGTTACATTAGGTTTTTCTCTCATTCCAAAGTGTATCATAATGTTTCATTGCGCTTCTCCTGTATCAGCAAATTCTCGGTCAGAAACAGGTACTGATCCCTCCGTTTTGCATATAAGATTTGGTCAAACTCAAACTAAACAAAGTTTGACCAAATTTATATAAAGAAATGTCAACATCTACAATACTAAAGTTATATGGTACGAAAGTTAATTTCATGACGCATCTAATATTATTGGTTTCAGATTGTGAATATTTGTATTTTTTCTATAAAGTTAGTCAAACTTTATCAAATTTGAATTTGACCAAACTTTATATGCAAACTAAAAAGAAATGGAGGGAGTACATTTTTTCGTTGGTATACAGACATACACTTTGAAACAGGGGAAAAGTTGAACAAAACATTATGGAACAAGATAAATTTTTACAACAACTAAAATAAATAACACGGAGGTCAAAGCAATCACCGACGGTGGATCTATATCCTGTGCACAGTTGGAAAAATCACTCTCATGCGGTACTGCCTATGGTTCTACTCATCTAAGAAAGAGAATGGGTGAGGTGTACATAGCTGAGTATGCATCATATTATCACATACAAACAATTTAAATTCAACATTATTATTTTAGAAAATATTCATGATTGCTTTATGCTGTCAGGAAACTTAACTGTCAAAGTTACACACAGTAAAAAAAAAGTGGTATCCGGGTAGGGATGTGACTTTTCCTCACTCTTTCACCTTAGGACATGATCAATGATTCAGTTTGGACAGTTGTCCCATAGTTCTACATCGGATGGATGCTGCCGTCAAGGAGATAAGTTAAAACAAAGCTATGGCTTGCAAAGGCTTGGTATAACCTGCAGAGCAGCGGATGCAATGTTTCTTAACTCGGAATCAAATGAGCTTGGATGAACAGTTCAATCAGGAAAAAATGTAAACAATTTAGGAATTAATTTTTCTGTGCTAAACCTTGACAAATGTTTTGATTGCTTATAAAGTTTCATATGAAATGACATTCATCGAAGTAGTGGCGGAAAAAGCAAAATCGACGCTCTAAAATACTCTGTAGCTATTTTTGAAAGCAGTTTGGTGTGCTGATTTTGTTTCTTTCACAACTTCCATTAATTTCATTCCATGATGAAGCTCTGCAAACACTCAAAACATTCATCGAAGTTTGCCAATAAAACAATTCCAATTTTCTTTTCAGATTTTACTGTTGTGAGCAGAAGAGGACTTTCAGCAGAGGAGTTTCATCAGGTAAAAGGTGTGGTCCTCCAGGAAAGGAAAATAAGAGAGAAAGTTGGCTGTGGTAAAAAAAAAAACCTAGCTACATGCAAGTGAAGTTGATGGATGGAGAGTCACGGTGAGCCACTTGTGTTATTTAATTTTTGCAATGCATGTTGGAGTGATGGGGCAGTAGTATGGTGAGCTATGGTCTATGGAGGCTATAGCATCATGCTGCATCATTGATCCACGAAGTTCTCCTCCTGTTTGCTTCTCTTGGCTCCAGAAAGCGGGTCCGTTGACTCTCAAACGCCTGTCTTCTCGCTAGACCGAAGTGAGCTCCAGGCCCTGGTACAAGCCACCACGTCCGTAATACAAGTCTCGTTTGCGGGAATTCGGACAAGTGAACGCATCCACAGACAAATACAAGTCCCGTTAGATGGCAAACAACATACGGACACGTCGGTCCGGACATTTGCGGGCGTTTTGAAGGTCTGTTGGCTCTCTGGCTCTAGTACATACATCACGCATTTTTTAACACTACATACATCATGCTTCCGTCACATAGTATGAGATTCTTACAATTCGGAAACCAGGAGAAATACACATGCATATGCATGCGCTGTTGCAGCTAGCTAGCATTATTAGGTTCACAAATGGTGGGAACCACGAGCCACCATCGCCAGCCACTGAAAATATTTCACACACAAAAGAAGACAACAGGAGCACCGTGTGGATGAGATGGACGAGCACCGGCGTACTCACCTCTCGTTTAGCATATCCCTTTTCTTGTGCTGAGTCTTGTTATGCTGATAAGGCTGGGGTTAAAGCCTAGCTAGCGGCAGGCAACAAGTTGTGTTCCCCTATGTGGCTTCACTCACACTGTCTTCCTTCATAGTTGAATGTCCACCTCGTCTCTTCTTCGGCAGACTGCGTCGGTGGTGAGTGGTGACACCGCCCATTCACGGTGTCGGTGGCGGTGTCACTTTTCTGATCGATGCAACATACTCCCTTCATCCTACAATATAAGATCGTTTTTCAAGCTATTATTAGTTTGAAAAACAATCTTATATTGTAGGACGGAGGGAGTATATAGTAAAGCGCACCTGTTCGAAGAACACAGAAATGATCATGGGCCAGCGCACCGAATCTATCGAGCTCATCCAATGGGATGGCCGGCCGGCGAGGCCTTGCTAGCCACTTCATCTGTTCTTGAAAAAGTGTACTTTCAACCTATCTCAAAGATTGACTGAATTTGTGCAAAAGTATGTCAATGCTTCTGAAATCAAATAGGTATATGACCGAGTTTAATGGTTATGTTGTGTATATAGTACTACATGATAGTGGACTTGCCTTTCTTCCAGCAACAATTGCCTATCGGAACTGTACGATGTTCTTCATCCGGGACGTCTCAACTAATAAATAAAGCTAGCAACGACCTCGGTGATGTGATGCTGAAAGCACACGTGGCCAGAGATTCCAGGCATTTGAGTCTATCGACCCACTAACCAGCCAAAATGTCTATTCCCTCGGCACAAGGGCGCACGCAGAACAGTCTCACCACCACGGCAATTATTATGTTATTAGAAGAACGGCCGTGCGTTGTAACGGAGCCACATCAACTTTAAAAGTTCAATATTAATATACTTATACATATCAAGTGACATTAGCGATCTTTTTTAGCATCAAATCCTCACACACACTCTCTCTCATTCCCTCTTCCTCACTCTCTCTCCCCCTCTTCCTCTCTCTAACACACACACATATCCATCTTATTGGGTACCGGACCATAATCCATCTATTTTACACACACGCTAGTGCATAACAATATGAATTATGTGTATTATATTTGCCACCACAACTGAGGGAATTAATTTCATGTAAAGAGGCGAGCCACAGCTCCGTATTACAACGGGGCCACATTAACTTTAAGAGTTCAATATTAATATTCTCATACATATCAATGACATTGTCGACCTTTTTTATCATTAAATCCTCTCACACACTCTCTCTCCCTTCCTCTTCCTCACTCTCTCTCCCCTCTCCCCTCTCTCTCTAACACACACACATATCCATCTTATTGGGTACGGGACCATAATCCATCTATTTCACACGCACACACGCTAGTGCATAACAATATGGATTATGTGTATTATATTTGCCACCACAACTGAGGAAATTAATTTCATGTAAATCAGCCAGCCACAGTTCCAAGAATACGTGGAGGAGGTGGCCCGGGTCGGCGTCGGCGCCGTCGCCACGGGCCCGCTTCCAAGTGCGTCTGCGTGTCGGCCACCCACGCCGGGTCCTTCAAGTGCTGCTCCCATCGCACCAACTCCCAGGGCCACGGCCACGGCTAGGGCCAGGGAAGCCGCCCTTCTTCGCCCCCTTCACCGGCACGGCCAACGCGATGCCGCGGCACCCGACCTCACCGTCCTCGTCCTCCGGCATCGTCGCGACCCAGTGATGCAGCCCAAGCATCGGCCTCGAGAATCAAAGAACGCTCAACAACGGAGAGGAAAGGGAAGATCATATACATGTCATAAGAAAGAGAGTTTATTTACTGCTTCCTCGATGTATTGTTTTCTTTATTTGGAGATTGATTACCATCTGTGAGTTAAGGTAAGGTTAATGTGATTGAGCGATTTTTCTAAAATCAATTATTTGTTTTTTAATTAATGTGATTGAGTGATTTAAGGTAAGGTTAATTAATTTAGATTTGATCTTTAGAGATTGTTCGTGATTGATTTTGGGAAGGGAAGATCATATACATGTCATAAGAAAGGGAGTTTATTTACTGCTCCCTCGATGTATTATTTCCTTTGTTTGGAGATTGATTACCATATGTGAGTTAAGGTAAGGTTAATGTAATT